CAGGAATGCTAGAAGCTTCCTAAGATGTGAATCCCATCTCTTGCCAATACGCTGTAGGATCCAAAACTGATGTGTAATCAAATATGCAAATATACTTAAAACGTGTAGTCAGATGAGGGTTGAGTGTGGCCTATTTGCTGACGAACAGATGAGAATGAATGACCTCAAATGTTTATGAACGAAGTGGTAGCAAAGTCCAACAGCTTTTTTTTCCCCTGTATCAAATATCTGACCAGTGGGCAATGGCCAGCAGCTCAGTCTGCAGCAGCAATTTAATACCTACACGCAGTGAAGTACTACCCAACGGAAGAGAAGTTAGGTAGCTGCCTCAGTAAGGATTGTTCATCCAAGGTCTCTGAATGAGGGAAGGATGCCATGGGAGACATAAAATGCTTCTGTGACCGACAACCATACTCACAGCCTTTCATTTTATGTCTTTTGAGCACTTCAGTTTGTCATTAATACTCAAAACTTTAACTGTTTAGATGTAAAAGACACTGCAAGTAAAGCCAGTTGAGCACCCTGACCTCTGCATCACTGGCAAAGTAGCATGAAATCGTACTATTCAAAGGCCATCTGGACACAGTCCTGGGCAACTGGTTTGAGGTGGCCCTGCTTGAGCAAGGGGGGTCGGAGCAGATGACCTCCAAGGGTCCCTTCTAGGCCCAAACATTGTGTTATATTCCTGACTTGGTGACCCAAATACTTGCTGAGTACAAGGATTCCTAATGGTTACTGAAATAGTCACTGAACCTGAGCATTACTGAAAAAAACCATCTATAAATGGCCCCTTAGTTCCATTTCAATGCTACCTGCATAACCCTGAAATGCTTTTAGAGGACAAAAAACCAGAGCTGTGAATAACTGACCACGAGATGTCTGTACATGACTACTGCACAACCCACTCCTCTGTAGCAGAGGATGTTTTGACACCAGATACATACGCACTGGGGACCCCAATGAGATCACCACATCCTATCACAGAAGGAACCACACTTCTGCCCATAGTGACACCCCTTGAACTTGATTGCAAAGGTAAACAAGAGGGGCAGTTACTGAAGTCAATTAGAACTTCAGTTTATTTGAAATTTGGCATTTTTGAGATGGTGAACATCACTTTTCTTTCACTATAGGAAAAACAACATTTTATCTCTAACTTGACAGAGAGAGGAATTAGGGCAACACCAACACTTTGGAAAAATGTTACTTATAACATGACTCCTGCATGTAAATCCCGAGCCTTGAGACGGATGTGATTAATCACAGATGGTGCATCTTTCAAGTACTGCTCGCAATACTTATCATTAGAGCAAACAAACACTGCAAGGCATAACTCATGAGGTAAGAAAACTTTGGTGGGTCCTTACTTGTGAAGAAGTATTGACACAAAAGGCTCTACCTGGTTGATATGCAGAGAAGAAAACACTACCATGTGTCCTTTCAACTGGTATACACCAAAAACTACATAATGAGGTCCCTTCCAACCCAAACTATTCCATGATTCTATGAAAAATTGACAATTTTAATTGTTTTACTATTAGAATTTGGTGCCAGGGACAGGAAGAACATAGATTTGAAGGAGAAAGTAATTTTCCTGCCCTACTACAATATGGTATAGACCTTCATAGCATTTATCACACTTAAAAAGAAAATTATAAACTTCAGATGGTATTATTATGGCAAAATGAGTCTTTCTGGTAGTATGTGTATTGAAAACCCATAATTACAGAACTGTTAGGTAGTGACAAATGCTTAGACAATTCTGAGTGCTTCTCAAGTCAAACAATGTGAGAAAACAGGTGTTTCTCTGATGGCACAGAGAGCTCCTGAAAGATCAGAAAATCACTCTCCAGTGACAGAATTTCCCTTTAAAGGAAAAATCCCCAGGGACAGCTGATTTTTTTAAACCACCCAAGCAATCACGATGTGCGGAACCACTGCAGGTGCTGCAGCAAAGTGTCATTTTGCAACAACCAAAAACCAGGTGAAGTGTAGGAAAATCTGCCGTTTCTATCCGAAGGTGAAGCAAGGAGAAAAAGTGGAGACAAAATACTCTGCTTGCTAGCCAGTTCTCTTGCCTCATGGGTGAACTTGTGCCAGACACGACTCCAGAAAATAAGTATTTTAAGTTCCAACAGATCAAAACAGATTACAACACGAAATTTTATTTTCAGGATGGGGGATATCCCTGTCATCTGTAAAAACACATACGGTAACTCAGAGGGCGGTTTGTTTTTTTTAATGTGAGGTGTGAATTTCCCTGTGAAATCACATATGCACCACGAGGATAGATTTACTGTCCCCTTCCTGCCTTTCAACAGCCCCTCCCTGCGCGTAGCCTGTGAACATGTTGAGCGCACAGACTTCTCTGACAAGACATTAGTTTTCACAGGCCAATGATTTCTGTTTCGCTGAAAACACATTCACCTGCCAAAGGCCACGTTCTCAGTTGGCATAAATCAGTGCAGCTCCTTGCCTCAGCCACCTAATTCCATTTGCAGGGCTTTATTTAAGGTTCAGATGATGGCTTCACATATGCCTCTCCCTCTCTCCATATGAACCCTGCGTAGTAGTTAAAGGAAACGCTTACCTCGAGAAGCTCATCGCCAATATGCATCCTTCCATCTCGACCTGCAGGTCCATCTGGGTTGATACCAACCACAAAGATGCTCATACGAGAGCGGTCCTTGTTGCCAGCCAGACTCAGTCCCAGTCCATTTTTGTCCTTCTCCAGCTCAATAATCTGCAGCTCTCCTGGTAAATCTGCATATCTTTGTCTGATTTTTTCTAGAAGGATCAAACGGAGAATGAGTTATAACATGAAGTAACTTCCATACGGTTGTTCAAGAACACAAACAAATACGCTAGAAATTGATGGTTTCTCAGCATTTGGTCTTTGTTAAGGGAAGTCTTTCCAGCACGAACTCTAGACCACCATTTGCTGTGCCCGTATCACTTGCACAGCAAGATGCAGCATCAGCAGCAAATAATGTTCCCATTAAAATTGTGCTATTTTAATTATTTGTACAACAGGCTGGTTCTAAACCAAAAGTTTTTTGAAAGGAGGGTAAACAAGAGAATTTCAGAGGCACAGCAACCTTACCTTACAAAAACTATCCATTTCAGGAAACCCTCATAAAGTTAGAGCCAGTTAATTAACCACTGTGGGGAACTGAAACGCTTACGTTGCAAATACACCGCAAACCCTCATCTCGAGTTGGAATCTTTCACTTCTGCTTCCTTCTGGTGACTCAGGAACACGCTCACCATGCTCCGCTTCACGTTATGTGCCGCTGTGCGGGTGATTACTCAAAGCAGATGTCAGTGACAATGCATATGATTGATTACGTTTTTAAATGCAGCCTCACTCGATATTAAGGTGGTTATTTGTCTTTTATGTACATTTCAACCATTCCTGTGACAGAGTGCAATACACTTATGAAGTCATTTGGAGCACATCGCGTGTCTGCGGATGCCGACAGTTCAATCTGAATGTCATTTCACCACTGCCACGCAAACATCTGTAACTATTGCTTGCGAGGGCCAATGGCAGCAAGGCTGATTTATTTCCCTGATTGCCCTTTGCAGATTTTAAAGCCAGCTTCCTAACACATCCAATGCTTCAGCTGGCCCACACACGTTAATAAAAGCAAGTCAAAGTATTTTGCTGCGGCTGGATGTCACCTTTAATACGGAGCCCAAGGGGAAAGAAACTGCTGCATTATGCATTGAGAGGAGAAATAAGAGATATTGTATGTTCAGCTGTATCCCTGAGTCAGCAGCGGTAGCTAGATCAATATTAGCTATTACCATTCTACTGGGGAAGCGTATTGTAACCGTATGATTTAACCACTGTAGTGAATGTTCCCATGACAACAAGGAAGAGGGGAAAGAGCTAGGGAAGATGAGAGGGAAGCAGCTAAAAGTGAATAAAAACTGCTGAGAAGACAGATGATAAAGTAGAGGTGTTCCTTCCCAAGCCCCTGTGCAGGATGCCAGGTCAATTTACCCAGATTTGGGTCCAACCTGGTGCCTCTCCTCTCCGAGGGTCCTTCTTCAGCAATTTGAGAGGCAGCAGCAGCCCCTCGTGCTCCGGCACAGACGGCTGGGACAGGGGGAGCACCCCAGAGCATTAACCACACTCAGAGCAGCACGGGCAAGAACCAGCTCACCCCTCGCTGTATTTACAGGCTGGCATTTTCCTGCCATGCTCAGAATCCCCTAAAAACCGGGGGGTGTGTATTAAGGGTGAGATGTTAGCCCTGGGAAGCTGTAAAGCCCTACAGAGGCCCGCACCAAATCAGAATATCGTAAAAAATCAGGAACCTCACTTGCTAGCATATGCCAAAAACTCACATAACTGCATTAAATGGTAATCCAAGTAGCTGCAGAGTCCCTTAATATATTTCTTAACTAATGGGGTCAAAAATGTAATCAGAGACGTGATTTGCTACTTGAATTTGGAAAGTGTTTTTTCTTCTGGTTAGCATGCAGGGTACCTCCTGCCAAAAAACAGCAAGTGAGGAAAGGTCTCGAAAATGCTGCTGCTGACAGCACAGCAGATACAAGCACATAGGCAGCCACACGTGTTATACACCGCCCAGGTTTAATGTTCTGTTCCCATTAAGCAAAGTCCACACCTGAAAGGCACAAAGATGTTTTCTGGCCACCACAATTAGACAAACGACTCAATACCATGCAGTGAGTATCCCAGCTGTAAGAATATTACAAGCAGGTCATCAGCAGACAAGGGATTTCTTACTGATTGCAGTTGTGTGGATAAAGCAAAGAACGGGTGCTCTGGAGGGACACTGTTGACTCATCATTGCTCTGCTGCAGTTCCTTCTATTGCTCAGTTTACATGGCCAACACATCTCACCTCCACTGGCTCAGAGCAAAGCGCACAACTAACGCGTGTTTTTAGCAACTTGTATTCGGATACACAGAAGGGGCAAGGGGCAAGGAGAACACAGACACTTAAATTTCGGACAGATGAAGCTGCGTATCTTCAGAGACTGCTTCAAAACTCATTTCTTGCTTGTCACTAACACTCCTCAAAATTCCCCAAATGAGTTTTCTCACGTGTGTAAAGTGTTATTTGTTCAGAAGTGCACATATATTCCCCTTCCATGTTGGGCTGAAACTAAAAGTAAGTTTTAGTCCTCCAAAAATGAGTAGTTAGGGCAACTGCTGGGATGAGACAGAGCCCCGCTAAAGTGCATGCTCTGCTTGTATTGGGCAAGGATTGGAGAGCTGCTGAGCCGATGCCCAGCCCAGAGTTTTGGTTCTAAATTGCCTCCCACGGAGGGAACAATTCTTTGGATAAAGAAAAGTTTATCTAGCAAAAAACAGATACCAACTCCAGCGGTCACCAAGACGCTTTTTGTTAAGAGGCTTTTGGGGTTTTTTAAAGGGTTTTCCATGCTGCATGTTTTTTTGAAGAAAATCAATATCTAATACAGAAGGAAACCTCCGTGTGGACTATATTAAATTATCCCAATCATTTATGGAGCAGCTATTTGAAATGGCTGAGGTGAGTGGAGTGTTAACACAGTGGGAGGGTACAGAGGAGCCAGTGAAGATGCTCTGTGCCGAGCATCACTTCCAGCCTGGCAGGAGGGCACCAATGTTCGGTGCTGCTGAAGATGCGTGTGTGTGCATGTTCACGCATACAGGGACACCCCTGCTTCTAAAACCAGCTCTCCCTGCACACCAGAAGGTTCTGGCTGTTGCAAGCCCCACCTCTTGCAATTAAACACGTCCAGGAACCATCCTCACCATCCAGCCTGGCAGTGAATAACGCTGCTTTTCCCAGCGGCTCCCTGGCGCTCCTCAGCCAATCTGGCCACAGACACCCTTCGTGCACCCAGCTGACTTTCCACAGCACTGTAATCATATTCTCAGTTTGCCTCTTAATAAGGATCTCATAAGATTATTTTAAACAAGTATTTACTGCTTAAACAAACGTGCATCTAAGGCATCTTCTTTTTAATGCCTTTTTCAGCTGTTTTTTCTCCCCTCCGGCTGGTGTCTCTTTTCAGTTCCCTGCCTAGCACTGGGGAGCCAGTTAGCATCTGCTTTTGCAAAGAATTCCATTATCTGCCTTCATTACCAGATACTTTACACAAGGCAATTGTAATTCTGTTGTTGCTGCATTACACACGGGACCTGGCGCGTCTTGTTTTGGCACTACGTGGAGTTGTTTCCCCGCTCGGTGGCAATGTGCCTATCACAACTTCTGCAAACCGATCTCAGCAGCTAAGGTTGCAACCGGTTTCTTTGAAAAATACTACACAGATGTGATGTGGACTAAAAGCACAAGTTTTAGTGATCCCTCCTGCCATAATATTTCCCAGTTATATTAGCAGACAATTCTATTTCAAAGAGAAAGCCTGGAAATGGAAGACAACTGCTTTCAAACAATAGACTATTATGCTGCTGCATATGTTTCCCTGCTTCAGCCGCTACTCCTATTATATTAAACAGAGAGATAAAAGAAATAAATGGGGACAATACGGTCAGGATATTGGAGTTTGCATGATGTAGTACTGCAACAAATACACAGTTTATCTGCACGGAAAAAGCAGACACCATTTCTCAGGCAGGCAAAAGGCTCATTAAATTACAAAGATATATAAAGCACTTGCAGAGGGCTGAGGAGCCTGTATCCCAAACCTGCTGAAATCTCCGGTTAAATGAGCTGAAAGGGAAGAGGTGTTTCTTCTGAAAATGGTGTCTCTGCGTGATGCAAATTAGAGACCATCAGGAAAGGTAAAAAGAGGAAAGAAAAAGCTCTGGATGACTCAGCTAGGTGATCGGTTTTAGTACCACATGCTCAATATTAAACCTGTCAAGGCAAAACACAGATGAAAGAAATGAGGAAAAACACCACAAAAAGAGATGACAGATGATATTTGTACACAGAAGGTGGTACTGAGGATTTTACAGCCCTCTCGCGCTATCTCAGATAACTATTAGCAACATATGCCAGCTTTTGGAGCCTTTACAATGGTCTCATTTATCAGCCTGTGTTCATTTTAATGGCTTTAGCTACCATTTTTATCACGCAGCACAGGACGTGGTTACAGCCTGAGCCTTTTCGGAGATTCCTCTGCTCAGACAGCAGAGCTGCAGCACCACAACCCCTGTTTTTAATGTTGTAATGACAGACATCAGAATGCAGCCAGCATCCAGCACACGGAGCGAACCTCGCATATCAAATGGCTAATTCCCTTCTTGATTTCGCTCTAAACATTAAAAACAAATAACGTAGGAAGTCCCTTGAAAGGCAACCCTGGAGCTGCGAGGGCAGCACGTCTAATTTACTGATTACAATTTACAAGAACCTAAATAAGCACATTGAAGGGACCATAATTGAACAAATGGGGTTTAGAATTCTCCCACTACTAATAATATAATAAGCTTATTGTTTTAATCTTCCCACTAGCCCTCTATATTCAGCTCCAAGGAGGCAGACAGTTCTTCAAACGTTATCTCACAGGCGATGCACTCGTCTGTTTTCATAAGCTTTAAACTGATAAATAGAAGAAGAGCACTAAATTCCATAAAATCGCTCCTTTTCTTCTCTCGGAGATCAGCACACAAGAGAAAAAATAGGGCAGCTGTAGTCAAAAGTGGCAAATCCAAATGGAAGAGCCAGAGGTCACGTTACGAACACCCACGAGTGGCGAGGGCAGAGGACAGGGGCTGCTGGGGCTCACAGCTCTGTACATGGTTTTTATTTATACAAAAATAAAATACTTCATTTGTAAAAAATAAAAATCTCC